TTGTGTCTTGGTGTTTGTAACTAAACAAAAGGGGTTTGGGGTTTAGGGTTTAGGGTTTAGTGTTTAGGGTTTAGGGGCCTGTATCATTACCATGTATGGGTAGTTCCTCTGGATCAGGGTCCCTCTTTAGGTTCCCAAAGTAGAACGGCACCCTTACAAAAGGGACCCTAAAGGGGACCCTAATTTAGAGAACTACCCACATGCTATAGTATTTTGGCATACCCCGCCAATCGTATTCTAATTATGGTACTAAGATCTAAGCAGACTCTAAATTTTTAATCTCTGAACCAACCCTAAACCCTAAACCCTAATTCCTAAATGAACCAAACTCGGTTCTTAGACGAGTTGAGGCCTTGCTGACAGAGGACGATGCAGCTTGTCAGCTTAGGGGGCTTTGGGTTTACTTCGGCGATTTGGTGCTTAGGGCTATGGGTTTAGGGTTTAGGGCTTAGGGTTTAGGGATTTAGGGTTTAGGGTTTAGGGTTTTAGGGTTCAGGGTTTTGTATTTTGGGTTTAGGGCTTTCGGTTTAGGTTTGTTGCTTGCTTATGCGTTGAATAAACAACCTTATAGACATGTACTTTAGGTCTGCATTTGTTCGGTTTAGGTTTGTCGCTTCAGTTTGTGATCATGGGTTGGATAAAACACATGTACTTGTAGATTCGTTGGAGTTAGGGTACGGGCTTATCATAGACTTGAGGCCAGTGGTTTGTGGCTATTGCACCTATAGTCGATGTCGGGGTTTCGAGTTTGTGGATCCCGGACTGGCGCTCAGTTCGGTCTTTGCGACAACACTAAGGTGGTTGACGACAAAGGTTTAGGGTTTAGGGCTCAGGGTTTAGGGATTTCGGGATTTAGGGTTTAGGGTTTAGGGTGGTCGCAAGCCTGATCTCCAAACAGCTTTACTTTTCAGGGCTAGAAGCTCAGGGGCCTGACTGCCATGACGGTACTATAGGAGCCTTAATTGTTAGAATAGGGTTTGGAGTATATTTTACCATAATTATAGTAAGGAACCCCCGAAACCCCATTCTAATGATTCAGGCCCCTATATTATCGAACCCGAATAGTAACCCCTTAAGAAGCCCGTTGAAAGGATCCCTAGAAACCCTATTCTGAGTATTAAGGCCCCTACATTAACAACAGTTTAGGCTTTAGGGTTTAGGGTTTAGGGTTTAGGGTTTAGGGTTTAGGGATTTTGGCTACAGGACTACGCCTTTGACCGCCTCCAGGGACTCCTTGAATCCTCGACTAGGGTTTATCTGGACCCTAAAGAACCTACTTTCTTTGGGCTCCTTACTAGACTTCTTGAAATCAGTCCGTACAATGTTAAATTATTTGGGGGTAGGGCTTATACATTAAACATCTGAAAGCCCTATTTGTGGTAGACCCTGCACTCTGTATCATGGGCCTTGACGTTGACGATCCGCCTGTTGCCGTAGGTTTGGGTCGTCTTTCGCTGTGGTTTCGGCTTTAGGGACACACATTAGGAGATATTAGAACCCTAAACCTTAAACCCTAAACCCTAAACCCTAAACCCTAAACCTCAAACCCTAAACCCTAAACCCTAAACTGAGGAGTCTAGCATAGAAGTCTGAACAACTAATCACGACTACCATTATTAGACTATCATTCCCTCGAGCTCCTGGTTATTAACAACCCTAATTAATTAAACGGGGTTTAGGGTTTAGGGTTTAGAGTTTAGGGTTTAGGGTTTAGGGTTTGGGGTTTAGAGTTTAGGGTTTAGGGTTTAGGGAATATCCCCCAAGGCCTTCTTCCAAGTCTGCAGGCCCGAACAGAGGGGCCAACAATCAGCTAGGGTCCGGGACTTTCCGAGGTGCATTGCCACCACGCGCTCCATAGGCGACGTGGGCTTGTTTTGCAGCATTTCGGGCCGAGTGGACCTACTTTAGGCCTTAATGGTTACCTATACTATTTTGGGAGGGTTCCTTATTAAAAATATAGTATAATGGGCCCCAAACCCTAATGATTCTAAAAATTAAGGCCCCTAGATTATACGAGTTCCGGTAGGCTTTCGGGGTTCAGGGTCTAATCAGGATTGTGGCCAGAAAAATGACCAACATTGTTCCCGACAGGTTTAGGGTTTAGGGTCTTAGGGGTTTAGGGTCTTAGGGGTTTAGGGTCTTAGGGGTTTAGGGTCTTAGGGTTTTAGGGGCTCCTGAATGTAACTATACCATAGCTTCGAAACGTGTAACTATATCATAGTCATACTGTTGATGGACAAAATTCTGCATGACCCAAATATAGTATAGTACCATAAATCCCATAGCTTCGGTAGAAAAGGTCATGCAGGATTTTGTCCATCAACCGTAGTATACACCAATACCCTATCCCAAAGACTGAGGCACCTACAGTAGGGGAACCGCCTAGGTTTGAGTTTAGGGTTGACCATAACCCTAAGGGTCCATGTACCCAAATGGTATATTAGTAGCAGGCCCCAAGTACGTACGTTCTTTCGGGCCGACTTTAAGGCCAAAGTATATACTACTTGGGTACATGGACCCCTGGCTCTAAGGACCCATTTACCAAGGCTTTCGAGCCCAAAGACCATACTGTATAAGGGTTTAGGGTTTAGGGCCACACTGTATTGCTTCAACCAAAATCACAGGGTTCTCCACCAGGACCCTGAATTCCGAGAGCGCAAACCCCGAACAGGGCTTCCATCTGGGGAGTATATACCTTGGCCTTAAAGTAGTCCCTATACATCCACCTTGGGGTCAAAGTATATACCATTTGGGTACATCGACCCCGAGGGTGAAAATAGCCCAAATGGGGTCTTTGGGCCCAAAAGCCTCAAAATATGAGTCCTTTGAGGGCATATAAGGGGTAGAGTTTACGGTTTGGGGTCTACCTAGACCCTAGAATGCAGTACTTGATATTGGGTAGCCCATTTTAGTTTACGGTTAGGGTTTAAAATTATATGAACAGAATACGCAACCCCCCAAAATACATCATGGCGCGATCTGCGTAGGCATTGAGTTCACGCCTTCGTTTCAGAAGTTGCCCCTTTCCCTACGAGTCCATGTCGCCAACTAGTAAATACTTTGGCCCCGAAGTACCCATATAGGGACTACGTAAAGGCCAAAGCATACATGATATTATGGGTACATGGACCCTACAAAACCATCAATTCCACAAACCCCTTATGGTAACGGTTCTGGTACTCCCGTAAAGAAACCCTCTGTAAAGGATCCCTTAAAGGGTACTGAAGAAACCCTTAAATAAACCCTAAACCCTAAAGAAACCCTTAAAGCATCCCTTAAAGGGTACATGCACCCTTAGGGCTGACATTCTGCAGGATGGCCCATGACAGCCTCTTCCCTTTCGTGGCGGCGAAGGGGGATGTGATCTTCGTCGGGGGGAACATTGCAACGGGGCTTAGGGGCTTAGGGTCTGGGGTTTAGGTTCTGGGGTTTAGGGCTTAGGGGTTTAGGGTTTAGGGTTTGGGGGTTTAGGGGTTTAGGGTTTTGGAGTACAGTGCTTTAATGCTTGCCTCTTGGACCCGGTTCCGTCAAGGAACCATAATGAAATATCAGTGTATGTGTTTGTCCCCTTGTTCCTTCAAAGCCCAGGCAACCACTGCGTATCTGAAGATGACCGGCCACCTCAGCTACACGAAGGATATGGTTGACCCAAATTACACCGTAAACCCTAGGCAGAAGCCTTGAAGAACTTCGCCACAAACCAGCAAACGGGGCATAATATAGGGGCCTAAATGATTACCACTACTTTTTTGGGGGGCTCCTTATTGTAATTATAGTATATTGGGCCCAAAACCCTATTCTAATTATTAAGGCCCCTACATTGTACATGTTCAACCACACCTGGAGCCTTAAACCCTAAACCCTAAACCCTAAACCCTAAACCCTGCTTTGGTTTGAACATCCCGGGAAAGCCTTAGAGCCTCGAGCAAATTCGCACAAAGCCATGTAAAAACTTAGGGTTTAGGGTTTAGGGTTTAGGGTTTTGGGGTTTAGGGTTTAGGGTTTAGGGTTTAGGGTTTAACTCCTGCAAGAAACCATATCAAGTGGATCATGTTGAAGCCCTCCTGGGAATCAATGCAAAGACGTAGAGTGCATATAGTGCCCTAGAACCCCATCGAAGGTATCCACCTTCGAATTCGCTTGTTACACCATCTTAGAATCCAGCCCGCCGAAAGGACGGTGAGTTCCAGTTTATTGATGACGCTCGTTGGGTTGCAGAGATTTGCCTCTGGGTTCCTTGGCTTCGGTGCTTGATGTCAATGTCTTCCTTGGTGACCGTACGGATCTTTGAATAATTTAGGCTGCTGACGCTCTAGGGGTGCAGAATCCCCTCCACATACCATGAAGGCGCAAGAGGTTCAACGTTTTGCATTCTGCTTTTCGGGCCGGTGGGTTTGGGATTCTCTGACATTTTGCACGCATGATAACTTCAAGCCCTAAGCGCGAATCTGCACGGCTTACCTACTTACCGTAGCATTGGGGGAGCTCACAACCACGTAGAAACCGGAGTAGTGGGTTCAGTCTTGGAGCCACCCTGTATCTATATTACTCTAAGCACCGACTGGTCTTGCGGGTCGTTTTGTTGTCCAGTTGTTGACGGAAACGAGCTGAGGGTTCAGGGCTCCGGAACTCTCATTCTAGGGTGGTGGCTCCATCAATACGGTTGGTGATATGAATCCTGCATTACTCATAATAAGGAATTACCATAATTCCCATACTTTAGTGTCCTACTTTAGTGTCCTTAAGGTAATGCAGGATTCATATCATCAACCGTACGTCTGCCTTTTTCATGGTTCCATCGGACGAACAGCCCCCTTAGTGTCAGGGTTAGTACGGGTATACAGGGATGGTCGCCTATCATTATATAGGTGACTGGGATTGTAGGTATCCAGACCTTCCAATATCGCTGAATTGCGGAATAGACCGTAAACCATGTGAGGGATCCTACAACAACGTTCAAGGGTTTACGGCATATTTCTTAACTAGGGCGAGGTTGGAAGGTTTGGGTAAGCTAGTGGGGAAACTCTATATTGAGCAGTGGAATCTCCTCGAAGCAGTGATTGAAGCATCGCGGGCTTCAGTTGGCTTTGTTGGTGTCCCTGATCATGCTTGTTGCATCACTTGTGATCGTTCGTAACTGTAACCTTGGGCATCAAAATAGCCCCCAAAGCCTTTTATAATAGGGTCTCTAGGCCCAAAAGCCTAAAAATATGAGTCCTTTGAGGGTAAGGGTAAGTTGGGTACGAAATCCATGCCTCTGAAACTCCTAATAGAAACCCTAAGCCCCAAGAATTCCGTTGAGGCACCTTGGGTTCACCTGGGCGTTCTCGAGGCACAGGCTACTTCGGAACTGTTGAGCCTCGATGCTCCCAAATTTTGCCTGATTTTGGCAGAGAGATCCGACACGCATCATGCGGCCAGCAGCTACGCGCGGAGATTTGTCAGCGTGCCTCGCCAGATTACCATGGTGGTCAAGTTCAGTTTTGGGCTGGTTCGTCTGCTAGCCTAAACTCTACACACCCTCAACCCTAAACCCAAACCGTTATGACGGGGAGAACGATGATTGCTTCTTCCGACTCTTGCTGCCAGCATTACTATCTCAGAGAGCCTAATACCGCTTCACAAGCAAATCGAGTTTTACATAGCTTAATTCAGAATAAAGAAGCCCTCTTTCATGTGGTGCCTATTCCTTAGGGAACCCTTATACAACCCTACGAAACCCCATCAACCCTTTCATTTAAGGTATGTTCCTGAAGGTATGTTCCTTAAGCCCTGAACCCTAAACCCACTGGGATGACGCTAAACCGCACGGCCTCCAGTTTCCACCGTCTCAGGTGGTGCAGAGGCAATCCCGGAAGAGCGCCTTGAGCGATGTCTTCCTAGACACGGGCGGAGAGTTAGAGTCTCTGGAGGATGCTCGGCCGAGTTTCAGGGTTTCTCGGTCTTTTGGCTTAGTAGCTGAGTAGATAACCTTTAACCTTTTGGGGGGCTTATATCCTACTAAAACTGAAAAGGTTACCTTTTTTGGGGGCTAGGGTCCTCAGCCCCTAAGTTGGGGTTCAAAAGGTGCCGATATCATATTGCAACTTCGCCTGTAGCACTCAGAGAGTTGCACGAGGAGAAAGAACTATTCCCCGCGTGTGTAGGTGTTTCTTCGGTCTGTTTCCGTTAATATGCAATGCATATGCGCGCTCATAAGCAGATCCGACCCTTTACATGCACAGCGGGGCCGCACGGACGCCCACCCGCCCGCCCGCCCGCACGCAGGAACGCAGGCACGCACGCACACCCAACACGTGGAACTGTAACCACACACACACAGACACACACACATATATATATATATATATATATACACACACATATATATATATATGCACATACCTGTGAGTGTTTAAATATACATATATCGCACATACATATATATATATATATATATATACACAAAGAGA